CCTATCCAGTTTTTCCGGGAGGAGCAATTATTGGATGTTCTGCTGGCTTTTTAAACGTACCAAAAATAAAGGGAACACATACTGCCATGAAATCAGGTAACTAATCTAATCAATGGGATTGGTTTATATTTTCTTATCAATTGTCGACTTTTTGTCTTTTTTGGATTAATGCATTCTAATTCTTGTATGTGTCCACATGTCAGCATTCTGAATTGATGTTAATTTAACCCTTCTAATGTGAGATAATTTACATTATTTTCAGCCAATGAAGTTTAGAGCAACAATGTCAAATGAATTATCAATTCAAACATAATATTCATGTGGGCTTTGGAAAAAGAGACTCAAAGGTACCATTATTAATATATAAAAACTTTCTTCTTTTTAAAGCCGCAACATTCTTTCCCAGCTTCCAAGAGTGATTAAATAAATTAGGAATTCATCCGTTGCACTTCTTGGATTATAAAGATAAATTATTAGGTGTGGAGGGATGTTTACCTCTAAATTCATGGGAATGGATCCCAGAGGAAGGTGCCTTCACTATTCTAAATATCCAGATTACCTCGATTCGAGGGGTAATTTCAATTTGATTCCCCAAATCTTATTACAACCATAGCCTTCTGTAAAGTAAGAGTTTCTTTTCTTGGATGCTTCTATAGTATTCAATGAAAGCAAGAAAATAACAAAGATACCACCTGTATATCATCTTCTAGAACAATTTAAATGCATCAATGAACATAAATAAAGTTTCTTATAAATTTACTGCATCAATCATGCATGTTCTGCTTTTGAAAAGGACATAATACCTGCACTTGGAGAATACGATACCATTGTTTGTCCTGTAATAACTTGCTGCCACATGTTAATTTAATTTTTCTGTAGATATTGGCAAAGGACATGAAAGGAGTGATATTGCTACTGTTTTAGGTTTTCATAATTTACAAGGCAATGTATGAGACTCTAATAAGATGTCTTTCACCATGGCACAATATACATAATTTGACGTTCTTTGTTCGTTAATCGCATTACTTTCGGAGAATAACTTTCACCATAAGAAAATCTCTTTTAGTATCCTGGCTCATGCAAACTGCATCTATTGCATCCTTATATTGGAGCTTTGTTCCTTTATTCCCCAAAAGATAACCATCTCAATTAGTTCATTGGTTGCTCAATTTAGATGCTAAACACAACTAATTTTGTATGCAAACAGTTCCCCATCATCCAGCTTTGCAAAAGTATTGCTTATGCACAATTGTGGCATACACAATTTATATGTATGTTTGAGACTTAGGAAAGCAATTTTTCTATTTACATTGCACCAAATATTTTACAGGTTGAGGAATTGCAGAGTAGTGTGTTATTAAAATTTAGTTGTTTTGTTATAGTCATGCTACATAATCCTGCTCTTTTCGCTCTCTTTGTTCTGCCTCTTACTCATTCTGACTGGAAGAATGCAAACCTTTTTGTATGACTATTGAGAACATTCTCGTGGTGACTCAAGTATCATTACTTATGTTAGAAGCTTTGGAGAGAGAATAGTTCTAGACTTGCTTGAGTGGAAGTAATCACAGGGGCATGTTTCTGACAGGAATGCTAGCGGCAGAAGCTACTTTTGGTGTACTTCATGAAGGTTCCAACATGGAAGCATACTGGGATGCTTTGAGGAATTCATGGGTGTGGGAAGAACTTCACAAAGCTCGGAATTACCGACCTGTAAGTAGAGCATTCCGGTATCTTTTATTTTCATAACTGCATTTCCCCTGGTTTCCTCATTTTCTATTATTTATTTGCTTTTTATTCAGTTTTATGACTGCCTTTGGGTGTTTAAGTTGATGAGCAAATTTAAGAAATCTATTTCCTTTAATTTGCTTTCCTAAAAGAATCACGTATTCTTCTAGCTGGAAAGCATGGTCATTTTGATTAATTTGTCTGGAGAGGCCATTATGTGGGTGGCAAATTTGTTCATTTTGGACTTACTAGATTAAAAAGAATGACAGACTGTTTCATTAAAATCTGAAAATTGATGTGATCTTATGTTTTGAACATAGTTTCATTTCCTGTAGGCATTCGAGTATGGGCTTTTTCCAGGCCTCGCCATAAGTGCATTGGAACAGTAAGACATCATCTTTTGCTGGACATAGCTATGTGAAGATTACTTGTGGGCAATTTATGCGCTTTGATTTTTTCTAATGTTAGTCTCATACTGTGTTGTCTTCTTGCAGCTACGTATTGAAAGGAAAATCTCCATTCACACTCAAGCATGGGAAACCTGACCATGAAGCAACAAATGTATGGGAAACCTTTTTCCTGAGATCAAGAACTCAAGTTACACCACAAATAGCAAATTCAATTCTTGAATTTATTTTGATCTAGAAATTGGTGTTATTAACCCTGTTAGAATTCTTTTTACAATTAATAAGCAAAAATCCCTGTTGTTTTCTGGATTAAACCATTCAGTAGGAGAAATAAGGGAAAAGCATTTTTTGTGGTTCAATACTATGTCAGGATGTCTCAGAGATGCTGTGAATGAACCTAAACATGGCAAATTCTTTTTTTTTTTTTTGTAAAAAGCATAAAAAGAGTTCTTGTTGTAAATTATGACGACAAAAACCAAGCTGCATATGCTGATAGAAAAAAAGTTAATCATATAACTGTTGTATCATGTGATTTTGTTAAACAACTTGGGGAACTGATTAACACACTCCCTTTTTCAGGTTGCAAAGTTACATTCCCCAATTCAATACCTGAAGCCAGATGGAATTTTGTCCTTTGATGTGCCAACCTCTTTGCACAGGTCTGAAGAATGCAACCCGTTGCCATATGTTAATTATCTTCATCTTAATTAGATTTTATTTTCAATGCTTAATTAGATATGTTAAGTTTAAAAAAAATGTCAAGATGATTTTCAGCTATCCAGGTTTGAATCACCTATATAAGCATATTCCAGCAAAATTAGATGAGGACATGCAATGTGATGCAATGTCATATTGAAGCATTCTTTGATCCTTTCTTTTATATATATATATATGTATATTACTGAGCCCTTTTAGTCTTCAACAAGCCAAAAGAAAGATGCTCAAGTATAGCCTTAAATCCTTTTATAAGTTACTGGTTATGGGTCAGAAATCAGAACCCAGACCCTCGGTAATTTTCTGTACTGGTTGACTGTTTTGTTTCAATGACTGTTATAGCTTCCTTTCCATCAAAAGTGACCCCAAACCTGCATGGAGGTCAAACAGGAGCAAATGCATTCTCCTCATAGATTTGATACCATCCAAATTGTGGGTAATGAAGGAAAGGGACAAAATGCAGTACGAGGAAACTGAACTCATTAGGGAAAATGCATATTCTTTTTTTCTTCTGTTCCCATTCATGTCTGATATGTTTATTTCTATTTGCATTTTAGGAGCAACACAAATCATGACCATGATCAGCCAGCTCATCTGCGTTTGAGGGACCCCAATATTCCTGAAACTGTAAACTTGCCAGAGTATGCTGGACCTGAGTCACGATATTGTCCCGCCCGTGTATACGAGTAAATTTCTTGTTATGCTTTTTGCTCCAGCTTATCTCTTTGTGATATATTGTCCCTGAAACCATTTTTTCATCTTTTGTTCGAATTGAAGGTACATCCCCGATGAAAAGAATCAACTGAAACTGCAGATCAATGCTCAAAATTGCTTGCATTGTAAGGTAATCTCCAGAACATTTAGTTTATACTACCTTAAAAATATTCTTTCTCCTTGCCTTTCTGATTGTTTCACTTGAATCAAATTTTAGAATGGATTGTTTTGTCCAGTTTAATGCAAATCTGAAGATGATGAGAGATTAAATGACCAACTCATTCATTTTAGTCCCTCATTTTCAGACCCTCTAAATGCAATTTCTATTTTCTTGTTTTCACATTAGAGATATAGCTGAGCTGTGTTTCTTGGTTTATGCTAAATTGATTTGTATTTCTTGAGGCAAAATATAACAAATGTTGGTTTGAATATTATTCAGGCATGTGATATTAAAGATCCTAAGCAAAACATTGAGTGGACAGTTCCAGAAGGAGGTGGTGGCCCAGGCTATTCAGTCATGTGAATAAGCCCCTTTCCTCATCATTGTATGTTGCAAATATAGTTTACTTTTTTACTTAGGACAAATACGTTATCTTTGAAATAATTAATGAGTCAATCTAAAATGTTTACACAAATTAGCTTATATCAAATGAAAAGCAAGCATGGGAAATGCTATTATTTAAAGCTATTATATCAAATGAAAAGAAAATCTTCCCTAATTCAGATCAATGTAGGCTCAAGGGCGTTAAGCCATTGAGGAACCTTCTCCAATTTCCCAATTAGAACAAGCTTCTGTAGGTAAGAAAGGAGCTGATGAAAGTGCATCCATCTTAAGTATTGCCCCAGGACTTGCCTTCAATCTCAAGCCATGAAAGTGTTCCATTTTTTCAATTTCATGTGGAAATTCCTCAATTTTGGCCTCCTTAAGGACAAAAGTTTGGACTAGTCTATGAAATTGTTACTCCATCCCGACGGATGCCATTTTCATTTAAATCATGTTACATAATTATATTATTAAAAAAATTTATAATTTATTATATATCATATTTGATAATCGCACTGTCAATATTTATTTTGATAAACTCATACCTGCATTATGTAATAAATAGATGAATTTTTTTTATAATAATACAATTACGTAACATGATTTGTCCGTTTTAAAGTACATATGTCGTAGAGTAAACAACCTCCATCGTATATCCCTTGGAGTTGATTTTGGATAAAGATAGGTTCACTCTCAGTAGGAGGGAAGGTACCAAGTATCAGTCAGAGCTATAATTGATTAATAATTTCGGGTTGTAATCTTCTGGTTGTATAATGTTTGAGATTCGATTTGGATGTTTCATTTGATAAGATGTGCATATTGGATTGGATAATCCAAAACAAAGGCTTCTCTCTGTCACAAGTTCACATCCCGTGACTCAACAGTTTGGGACAATGATCTCAAAAACCGACAGCCTGGGAAGGAAAAGAAAGTCACGGACTACACCAAGCTTTTCTTCTCTTCAGTTCCCCTATAAATAACAGTCTTTCCCTAGCTTAGCTCCTCCACTCCAAACTCGATAGCAATCGACTTAAAACTACTCGATCTCAGAGACCAAAAATGGAGAGAGTGAAGATTCTGGCACTTATAGTGGCAGTCGTAATGGTTATGGCTATTGCTGTAACTGATGCTCAAGGCATATGCAACATGCCAGCTTCAGGTTTGATGGCATGCAAACCAGCTGTGACCCCTCCCAACCCTCCTCCGCCGACGTCGACCTGTTGCTCCTCTCTCTCCCACGCTGACATGCGCTGCCTTTGCTCCTACAAGAACTCCAAGCTGTTGCCTTCCCTTGGTATTGATCCCAACCTTGCCATGCAACTCCCTAGCTTGTGCAAGCTTCCTAATCCTGCAAAGTGCTAAAGCCTTGTGTCAATATTTGGTCTACATATCAACCAAATGATTGCGGGACCAAATATAAGAAAAAAAAAATTCTGCTTCACGTAATTGTACTGAACTTTGGGCTTTACTTCTCTTTCGTTTTCCCTTTCCATTGATCCTATATGCTTTTTTCAGTCTTTATTTTTTATGTGCTGCGTGCTTTCATTGGTATCATGTAATCATGTACGTGTTGTGTGATTTCTTATGAATAATCTTATATATGTGTTGCTATATAATATAAGAAATTGTGGACCTATATATCATATATATATATATAATGTTATATACATATAACAAAATATACAAATGTATACATAACTGTTTTGGAATGGCTTTTTTAAAAAATAAAGGAATGGGAAGGTTTTTTTATTAGGTTAAAAAAGTTAAAGTGAGAAAAAAAATAGTTATGTTTATATTAATAGCGACATATAATTTTAAAAAGACCAACTAACGATAAATAATTTATTTTATTTTATTTTTTCTTATGACATATTTGATCATACTTATTAATATATATATATATACACACATATATGTAAATAATATATTAATAAAAACATGGTGAACTCATAAAATTATAAAATGAAAATATTATTATGACAATTTTATACTTTAAATAATAACATGATTTACAATTAATAATAGAATTACTAATTATGCGATCTTTCAATGAATTATGAGAATTTTTTTTATTTTTTTAGTAATTGAAAATTGAAATAAAAAGAAGTATGAATAAAAAAATTATTAAATATTTTATCAAAACAAGAAAATTAAATATACTTTTAAAAGAACGAAGATGAAATTATGAGATTAAAAGTTATAATATTTTTCTATCCTTTAGTAAAGCAATTTTAATTTTTTTTTTTATGAAAAATGGATTACGACAAAGGAGAGGAAGAGTTGTAGTAAGCTAAATCTTTTTTTCCCTCAATCGCCTAAACTTATTCAAAAAAAAAAAAAAACCATTGGTACTTGATTGAAAACTTGAATATTGTTGAAAAAATTAAAAAGTTAATTTGATTGTAATTTAAAACTTGTAACAAATCTTTTAATTTTAAGAACTTACAAGTAAAAATTATAAATATAATAAATGAACAAATATCAATGTAATTTGAACATCTCTTAAATTACAACACATAAAATTAAATTACAAAACATAAAAATAATAAAATTCAACGTAGGGAATTTGAACTATCCCTTATACCTTCTAACAAAAGGTGACATCCAGCATACCAAAATTTTGATAAGAAGATTCAAATTTAATTATTTGAACAAGAAAAACATACATTAATCATTGAATTAAATATTTATCTTTTCATTATCTAAAAAAAAAAAAATCATCTTTTTATTTAAGGAGATGGACTGATATGTTAATAAGGTCTGAAAAATATTGTAAGCCATCTCTTGATTTGATAATTAATTTTTTTTGCCATCTCTTCCTATTTAACTTATCAATAACTAAAAATTTGGGATTAAACACTTAATAATTTTGATGATTTTTATTTTAGGTCTTAATATCTTCAACAATCCTCTTGATGGAATTAAACGCATTCTTTTGGGTGATTCATGTTTTGGGGGTTGTTTTTTTCATTATTATTTTTCTTTTGCCAAGAAATTAATAATAATAATTAGTTTTAATTTTATTTTTCATGGTGCTATTATGGAGAAGAAGTGGTGCTGAATGGAGGCTGCAGTGCTTGGAAGAAGGGATATTTGACAACATCTATAAGTTTCATATAGAATCAATATTTCTATATGAAATCATTGAATGGAAACATGATTAAACAGTAGAATTAAATAAAGAAATAAAGAAACAAATCAACCAAAGCATTCATAAAGATGAAGAATTAAAGAAGAGAGAGACACCAGATTTACATAGAAAACCCATATATATATATATATATTAATGGTGCTTGGCAACCTCCAATAGTTGTTTGAACCTCTCGGACGTGCAAGCGACCATAATCGGCCCATCAATCTTGGTGTCGAGATCATCATCTTGTGATCGAATGATCAGTTCTTGAAACCCTGGAGAAGACAGATACTTAATAGGAACCTCATATCTCTTTGCCTCTTTGCCTACATACATTGCCACAAAACCCCTTCGAGCTTGGACGGCTTTGGCGTCCTCAGCCTCTGTCAGCCGATTGTATGAATTCTCGGGCTTGTTACGCCCAAGCTTCTTGATCAGCAAACCGATTTTGGACATTGCAGAATGAAACTTCTCTTGTTTTTAAAGGCCAGAACAATATATGATGCGACAAAAGAGAGAAGCGTGAGGTCTGGTTTAATTTTATAGTGAAGATTATGCTGTTGCCCATCCTATTTCCTGGTTTGGAATTGAATTTTGGCATTGAAAGTTGACTTCAACTAGGAAACTTTTAGGGGACACCCGTCAGAATTTGTTTGGTTGCTTGGAGTTCACGTTTGGTTACTCCAGGTAACAGAAAGCAAGCCGTAAATTAAATATATATACGTTGGATAAACGCGATTTGAGCTTGTACTTTAAGATTTAAAGTGTAATATTTAATTATTTAATTATTTATTTAATTTATTATCTAAAATCATTATTTTTTTCTTTTTTTTTTCATCTTCAATTTATCTTCTCTCTCTACAATTCATTTTCTTTCTTTAAAATTAAATAAAATTTCTCTCTAAACAACTAAACCTAAAACCACCAAAAACTTTCTTCACAAACCCAAAAAAGTAATTTCAAACTAAGATCCAAAATTTTGATTTTGCTTTATCTTTGACTGTGTTGATTATTTTTAGTTGAAATTTTTAATTTTTTTTGTTTATATGTTTATATGCAAATTTTAAATTTTATCCTTTTGAGAATGAAATTTTTGTTGTTAAAAATTGTATCAAGCATCAAATAAATAATTAATTTCCATTCAACAATTACATCAATTTTCATGAATAACCATTAATAAACATAGAAATCCAAAAATAAATCCAGCACCGACTAAAAAAATTCATAGAATCCCAATCTATCATAAATTACTCATATATAGTAAATCAACAAAACAACCACATATCCACATAATATCCACATAATATCCACAATAACTCATCAACAAAGATTTTTCTTTTGTGGGGTTCAATTTGAATTTTTTTTTTTGAAATTTTTGAGTTTTTAGAGGAAAAGGGTGAGGGAAAAGATCAACTGGGAGCACACACCATAATGGTATATTTTTCCAACATTTGATCTCTTACTTGTTAAACATTTTAAAGAATTTATGCTTCCAGCCAAATTTTTATTTAAAAAGATTGATTCTGAGAGAAAGTAAATATAAAAAAAATTGAAAAAAAAATGAGGGAAAGAACTAAAGTTTATTGATTAGGCGTAGTAATGAAAACTAATGAATGTCATTGATATACAACTTAAGGTGATTAAATATCACTTTTTAAACTTTAGAAATCACACTTAAATCGTGTTATATTGTTAATTTATCAAAATAAGAATAAGCAGCATTAACTAACTATATGTATGTCAGTATATGGGGTTTAAGCCATGAATTATTACGCAGTTCGATTAATTAGAGAGAGACTTTTATAGCAATAATTTTGATTACATCCCACCATAGAAGAGATTTTCTATTTCTATTTCTATTGAGAGCCTTTGCCATTTAATGCTTGATAGAGTGAGAGATTTATGGTGAAAACAGAGAACCTTGGAATATTTTTGACAAAAATACAAAAAAAAAAACTGTTTGGGTTTTCATCAAATTGAAGAAGACGAAGAGTAAATCAAGAATTGATAGAGCTGCTGGTTCGTGATGTTGAATTGGTCGAAGTATCAAGTGAAGGATTAAGTGGTCAGCTTTTAGGATTCGACAAATACTTCATTTTTTGTTGCAAGAAAGATGGGGCAAGCCAAGGCAATGGTCATTGGATTATACATGAGTTTTCCTTAAACGACGAGGCTTTGAATGATTACGATGTTTGCGAGATTGAGTATAGAGATGCTGTGGGATGCTGCAGCCTCAGATCAGTAATGGCTATCTAATGCTAGGACAATCAGATTCCATTAATGATTCTCTTCGCCCTGTACTTGAAAAGTTCATTGATGAATCCGAGAATGAGCCGAACGTTGATTCCCTCGAGTAAGCTCATGGCTATCTATGGCCTCAACAGCTGGGCCATTCAGATAAAGGCAATGGAACAGATCAAAATTGCACAATTCAAGATAACTACATCGGATGATATTATACATATATCTTAGGTCAATCTCCAACTACAATTAAATATAACTACCTAGAAATAAATGTTATATAGAAACGCCTAATTAAAGAGATCAAAGAGATGTGAAAGAACAAATAAAACGAAGAAATGTGCCCTACTTAACAATGGATTGCAACCAAGATTTCGAGCAATGGAAAAGGCCCATCAATAACTGGCCCTATGGGCCTCTAGCTCCTCAATCCTTCGATGAGGTTGAGCTGACGTCTGATGAAATATCTTTCTGATGGGAGGAAGGCATGGGTCCTCTAACTCTCATCTCCCCTGTTTGCTGTTGCTCCTGTTGCTGCTGAAGCTGATGAAGTTGATGAGGTGGGAACTGATGCTGATGCTTCTGGGAGTGAATCTGAAGTTGCTGGAGCTGCTGTGCTGTTAGAAGAGTATGAATAGCATGATTATTTGGGTAGTACTGCTGACTAGTTCCAAATGACGCAAAGTTCATCATTGGTCCACCATTTGGCATAGATTGGCCAGTCAGCACCTTCAAATGCTGGATTTCCTCTTTCAGTGCATCATTTAATGCTATCGAATAATAAAAACAGAGAAAACATCATTTAATATGGGCAACAATAAAAGCAGCTCAAACATAAATGAGGTGCTAATGGTAGAACATGAAGCATTTATATTCCTAACTGATATGCAGGCCAAAAGTTGAAAACCTACTTTGAGAGCCATTCAACAACATTGGAATAATAAACAACATCTTTACATCACAGAGGTATCTGAGGTACTGTAAGTAAAATGCATATTACAAGCAGCTTACAAAAGGCGTACAGCTCTGACAACCTAATATAAATATCTAAGGGAAATAGTGTAATTGGGGTACTTGCAAGCTACTCAAGCTCCAATCAAGAAATGGCTCTTTACTCGTTACTAAACTTGAATTGATAGAGTTCAAGCTCGACTCTACAAGGAACGAGGTCGAGTATTTCTCTTATCAAGTTTAAGTGAACCTAATGGACTCAAGCTAAAGTAAGTTGAACTTTTAGCAGAGCACAAATTTGAATACAGGTTTGAACTTTTACCAACCCCCAATATACCAATTGTCCCAAATCCTATTCCCCACAAAGTAATCAGTTGCAGGTTTTTCAAGTCTAGCAAAGATAGAATAGTGTTGCACTGTGACAACCGACCCTATATAGATAAAGGTTGACATCTATAATAATGGCTACAAAAACTCATATCTTGCTCATTTCTCTCAATCATTATAAATGATGGAATAATGATGGAATAAGCAGCATAAGTACTAAAAATCATTTAAGAAGGTGCAGTTGGAAGAATGCCAATAAACAATTATTTACATATGATTGTTATAAATATAAACCTTTTCAGAATAAAAAGTAAGAGATAATATAAATGTCTCAATTCAATCATTTTATTTTCTACTCTTTATTATACAGGTTATCACAATTGACTCCAAATAACAATTTAAGCACATATATAAACCTAGCATTGAAACATATCTTTTAAGAGCATAAGAGAACTGTTAATCGTATCATCAAAGGACATTTTCTAACCTATAACAAAATGCTGTATTTGCTAAAGGCAACATTGTTTCTTCCAAGTTCCAAAGCATTTTCAAGCTTGAGAAGCATTGTATTGCACTCTTACAATCTAAGCGGAATGGACACGAACATGCAATACATGTACGACATGACACAGACATATTAGTGACATGGTAATTTCTAAAAAATGTGGACACGAAAACGGCAGGACATGGCAATTAAAATATTTTTATGTAAAAATATTTAATGTAAATGTAAATATTAATACTTTAAATTAATTTATAATCAAATTTTTGTTCTATTTCTGGTCATTAATTTACTCATAATCATAAGATTCTAACACGGGGGCTTAAGCAGATAACAATTTTTTTTTATATTATGAGCCGGCCGTTCAATAAATCTTAGTACTACATGGATTGGGTAGGAGATGGTCCATTAAATCTCAATCATTTATATCAGGATGGGGGGGCATGAATTTACCTATTGAGCCCATTAAAAAGCCTGCAATGAGAATGAACAAGCGCAAAGGAAACACAAAAGGGAGAGGTGAATCTGAAAAGGCAAGAGCTAATAATGTTAAAGCACACAGATTGCTGACATGGCATAAAGTTCATTTTTTTTCTTCATTTTCCTCTCACCTTCTATCTCTTCAATTTCTCTCTCTAAAACATCCTCCCATCTCTCTAAACACAGTCTCAACCACTGCCCCTATCCAGTTTCCAGCCTCCGGCTGCCAACTACACAGCCACCTACCGCTGTTCACCAGAGTAAAAAATCCTCCAAAAGTCATCAGAAAACTCCTCTCAACCTTCTCTTTCTTCCTATCTAACTAGATTTCCCAAAAACCAATTAAAAAGGCCTAAATCTACAAAAAGATCCATGACTTCCATCCTTGTCATCGTTTTCCACCGCTAACCCATGTCCAAACATGTCTTGGCTGTTCAGGACCATGTCCAATTTGTTTTTTATTTTTTTTGCCATGTCCCGTACATATTCTGCGTGTTAACGACGTGTTTGTGTCAGACACCGGTACACAAGGATGGATGCCATGTCCATGCTTCCTAGCTTATGATTAGAAGCAAGAAGTTCCCAGCAATATTATCACTTTGCTCAAATATAAGATCCATATCACAATATAATGGCCTTAACACAATTACAGGATGCTAAGACAATGGGTAGGATCTCAGGAACCAAAAACCAACTGCACCAGTATTTGACATACCCGCAGCTTACGACGAGAAAGACTACATCCAAACCTCTCTCCCCCTCTCTCCCTTCCTCCATACACAGCCCCTCTACTATTAGATATCTAGAATGGTAAGTACATATAAAGAATATACATCGTTTTCCACCGCTAACCCATGTCCAAACATGTCTTGGCTGTTCGGGACCATGTCCAATTTGTTTTTTTATTTTTTTTGCCATGTCCCGTACATATTCCGCGTGTCAACAACGTGTTTGTGTCAGACACCGGTACACAAGGATGGATGCCATGTCCATGCTTCCTAGCTTATGATTAGAAGCAAGAAGTTCCCAGCAATATTATCACTTTGCTCAAATATAAGATCCATATCACGATATAATGGCCTTAACACAATTACAGGATGCTAAGACAATGGGTAGGATCTCAGGAACCAGAAACCAACTGCACCAGTATTTGACATACCCGCAGCTTACGACGAGAAAGACTACATGCAAACCTCCCTCCCCCTCTCTCCCTTCCTCCATACACAGCCCCCCTACCATTAGATATCTAGAATGGTAAGTACATATAAAGAATATACATCCAACTCATTACAGATTCAATCTAATTCATTATCTCTCTTAGAGTGTCCATCAACCAAATTCTCACATGTAAAATCTCTCAAACCATCATAAATATCACATAGCCGATGATATGTCTTTCCATTAAGATAAGGGGGATAACAGAAAAAAATAATAAGGAAAAGTAAAGACACTGGTATTTAAAGAAGAGTTTTCAAGAGGTGCTTACCGTCTTGCAAGTGAACCTGTTGTTCCATTGTTTGCAAGCGCAGTTTCAACTCACTATTTTCAGCAGTCAGACCATTTGTGTCTCTCTGCTCATAAGTTACCATGAAAAGAGTCAAATGAATCATTAGATCTAAATAAGTAAAAAGAACACAAAAACATAAAAATAAAAAATAAAAGAAAATAAAGGTCCACTGGAATATATGTTTAAATATATATATATATATATATATATATGACCCACAGAACCCTTGAATCTGAGAAATATTTAGCAAGCACACAAGAAGAAGGTGCAGAGCTGATGCAACTACCTGTAATAGAGTCAGCTGGGCAGAAAGTGATGTTGCTTCTGTTTGCAGTGTCTGTACTTTCCTTTCAAGCTCAGCTATGTATCGCATCTTTCTTTCCTTTGACCTTGCAGCAGACTGCCTGTTTGCCCAGATCCTATACATAGCAAAGGCAAGAAAAGGCGTCAAAACCAAAAACATATCAGGGTAACAACATTCATTCCTGTTCTGCAAGACATAAAATCCAATAGAAAGAGGAAGAATCCTTAAACGAAAGGGGCAGAAAAGGGACCGGAGGAGAAATATCAAGAGACACAAACATGCGGAGATAAAAAAAACAACATAACATGGCACTAGGTTCAAGCTAGTTCAAGTTAAAACCTAGTTTCATAGTCTCTCTGCCATTACACCTTAATGGATCTGGTCTCAACCTAACAGCAAAAGGCTTAATGCTTGGATTTAAGCTGACAAAGAAACAAATCGACACAGTATCTGATTCCTTCACTAACAACTAACACACCCATATACTCTGTATTCAGTCATGGGTTAGGTCACACTTTTATTCCAAAATCTAATGACCAAACCCATAAAACGGAAATATGTTATCACTAAATAATAATTATAGAAAAAAAGTAAAATCCCCACCTACTTACTGCCAAAAACCACAAACTTTCCTTCTAAAACATGAATCTTTTAACTGAATTCATAATTAACGCTGATAATAAAATTCAATTCAGTCAACTTAGCATAGCTAAGAATTTGAAATGGAAAAAAAAAAAAAAGAAAGATACCTCTTAGCACGCTTGGGATCAATAAGAGCAAGCTCAGCAAGCTTAGCAGTGGACATAGCTTTCTTAGAATCAGCAGGTGAAACTTCTTCCGAACCAGACATAAGCATTTCCGGCTTAATACTCGTCGATCCATCCATCGACTGGCTATGTTGGTGTCTAACTCTAGGCTTCTCAGAAGATACAACACCAATACTCACATTTTCCCCACCCAACATCCCCGTCCCCGCTCCCACAGCCAGGGGAGCAGCAGCGTGAACCGCCGGTGCTGACGACTCACCAACCTGAAATGTTGAGGTGGCAGAGGAAGAATTGAACTTATCCATATCAAGATACATAGACAATAAATCTTCCTCTGTTTCGTCCGAATACGAAGGCCCATCGGCTGGCCCCACAATCCCGAGATCACTATCGAAACTAATATCATCAGGAAGAGTAAGGATTTCGGAATGGGCACGGCGGTGACCTAAGTTCTTCGGTGGATTATCAGGCATTTTGCTAATATCATGACTAAAAATATTCGAATCCGAAGTTTGACCCAAACTACCCGTGTCGGGTTTCACGTTGAAACTGTTTGGAGCATTTCCGGTGGATGAAAATCCCGAAAATCGACCGGACGGTGGAGGTAAGCCTGGAGATTTATCCTTTTCCATATAATGGCCGAAAATTAAAAAAGGAAACCCTAGAATTTGAGTTTAATCTTTAAACTTTTTAAGTAAAAACTGAGCGGAAACGAAACCCTAAGGAGAGCAAAGATCTAACAGACACGATAATTACAAAGGAATTACGTAAAAAGTGAAAAACAAACAGAGAAATTGGTGAAGACAATGAAAAGAACAGCAAAGGAAAAGATTTTCCCGGAAAATGAAAGGGTTTTCAGGGACAAGAAAATCTAAGACTAGATCTAAAAATCAAATAAAGGCGAGAAAAAATAGGAAGGGAAAAGGAAAAGGAAGGAAATGGGGAGGAATCCACGACAGGCTTTTCAGATAAAGGAGAAAGGAATCGAATGAAGGAAATCACATGGTTGGAAAGGAAAGGAAGGGAAATAAATTTCGTTGAAAATGTGAGATCTGAGACATGATTTTATACCCGTTTTGTTTGCTGCTATTTTAATATTTCCTTCTTTGCTGTCTGAAATTATGCTTCGACGTGTTGTACCTTTCGGACAGGGAATGTCCTGAACAAAGAATTAATTACTTAGGTGTCCTAAGGTACAATGTTGTTTGTGCAGGGAAAATTGTAAGCAGGCGTATGGATATTGAAGTAGACAAGCGCGAGCTGGTTACTAAATATGACTGAAAGAAATAAAAGGGAATTGTTTGGGTGTGATTTGAGTGTAGGTATGAGTGTGATCTTTTGGGGCCCACTTGATGATGGATTTTTTGAAACTTTTGTCAACTTTTTTGTCGGTGGTCATCGCGATGAGTACGTGGCTTTATTTTTATGAAATTAAATTTTTTTACGATAATTTATTTTAAATTTCGTTAATAATAATTTTTTTCTCCTGATAAATGATCGTAAATTTCATGAAATTTCTAATATAAAAAAATCTCCTGACTTTAGAATTGGTAACCGTATTGAAGATAAAATTGTTTACAAAATTTTTTTATTTTATTGAAAATTTTAAATTTACGAGTGAGCATTAATCCTTTTAGGTTTTAGGGCTTACTCTCCAATTTTCTGTTGAATCTTCTTCAATTATACATGCAAGGTTGAATTTTTTTTCAACTATATTCCGGTAAGTGAAGTTTTTTTTTTTAATCAAAACACTAATTTTTAATTATATTTTGATTATTTATACTATCTTAAAATCTATTTGAATAGACAATTAAATTAATTTTAATGAAATTAAAAATAACGATAATAATAAAATTAATTACTACAGTATTAAGATTAAAATTAATAATAAAAATATGCATTTAAATACAAATGTAATGATAACCGAAAAATAAAATATTAAACTTGATAATTTGTATCACCGTATCATGTAAAACATTATATTCGTATCATATTTTATACCAAAATAATATTACATGTCAACATAAAAACATAAAATATAATTTTTTTTATTTTATTAAACTTATTTATGATTTTTTAAAATTTTAAATGTGTTATCTCTATTTTTTATTTAAATTATTTTCATATTATATTATCATATAATGTTTCAAATTGTTAGATCTATGAAATATATTAAGAAGAAAAATGATCATTGAAGATATTAATTTGAATTTATATATAATAAATATTTTAGCATTTTTTTTATTCACAAATTAATACTTAATTAAAATTTACTTAAATTATTTTTATGTCGAATAAAATTTTAACAATTTTATTCAATCAGAAACTTTATGCATACTATTTTGTATTAAAATAATAATTAGAATTTTAAATATTAAAATTATAAAAATGCTTCAAAATATTTAATATTTGAAATATAGTGCTTGTAACAATCATAAATGATAATTGTAAGAGTTAGTTAGGAAAATGTTACAAACAATCAAGATTAATTTTTTTAATGATATCTTGAAAGTAGCCACATGTCTTTAATATGTATTTCATGCATTTTAATAACAAGTAGTAGGAAAAAACTATACCACTACAAGTGAATTTATCATCAAAATAAATGATTTAAGAGCACGCAACAATATATGGTAGGGCAATCAAATCAAATAATGGAGCAAGAAATTTATGACAAAAAATACAGTGTATGATAATAATATGTAAAAATTGATTTTATATGGTAAAAACTAATGGACACAACCAGAAAAAGAACCTGTGAATGCAAAAGTCAGAGAACTTAAAGGGTTAAGTTGAGGGTTTGCAACTACCATTGGAGGCCAAATCTGTCAAAAGCTCAATATAGCCATTGATCCCCCATTATTTCAAGGTGACAAGAACCTAAAGACCAGAGAAGATAACAAATTGTCAGCTCATCAGAAAACCAAAGAGCATATACAAAAAAAGAATCCTGTTATATTGATAAAACTATGCTCACCTAAACGCTTGGAGTAGATCTAGCAAATACTTGTGTAGCTTTTCCAGAAATGTTCCCTGTGCAACATTTTGCTAAAAGGCAAAAAACATGGCAAGTGCCATTTGGTTTTATCTATTACTAATTTACACAAAGAATAGTCGACTATTGATCATGATTTTTGAGATGCAGGTGCAGTTTCACTCAATGATGAACCTAATCGAAGCATAAGGATATATACAGGACTGAACTCCTTGTCTCCTCTAGCCTTAACCTTTGCAGCATAATCATCCAGAGTTGCCTTGATTCCTTTCCAGATCTGATCTTCCCCTTGAGAATCCAGCCACAATGAATATTGCAAATGCGTAAGCTTGTTCCTCTGGAGTGGTGATTGCAATTCTTCAGGGCCTCGGGAATAAAGATGGTGCAGTATGACACTCGGAGGTAAATCTTGGAGAAGAGGAGATGCTCCTAGTTGAGATGTTTCCAAGAAGATCAGTGGTCGGAATGCTCGAAGAGCACGATATGGTGCACCAAGTTGTTCTACGGGAAATAAATTTTGGCCCACAGCTAATTCCAGCTCAGCCATGTCTCTGGCCATTCTCAGCTTGCCTGATTCCGAAAGGGGTCTAACAAGAGAAGCATGCCTGATAAAGAGTATCAAAACCCGTGAAGCCATGCTCCTAACAAGCCTCGTGCATATGGTTTCTGTTCCTGCAGTTGTAGCATTAGCTGAAGATGGCAACAGCCTAGATAGGAACTCACTACGAAAGTGAAGAATGCACTTCTGCAACTCCTCCATATAAGGCGAAGCATTGTTGTCCATGGCAGCATCCATCCCAAGCACAGAAAAGTTCTGATCATGGATTTGTAAGATGCAAGACTCGAGATGATCAATCATTGCTTGGAACACGGTTGTTACAGAATCACAAGCAACACCATATATTGCACCAAGTGAAGGTGACAATACATCTGCAGCAATAGTTGGAAGCCCCATGATCATAGAAGTTATGCGTGTATGAATTTCTTGTAGATGCTGACATAATGCAAAATTCTTCGCCTGAGCTGGAGTAGCAGGACCAGATACTTAGCGAGCTTCAGGACCAGTCGATATCTGCCAGTATAACAAAGTTGACTCTTGTCATGATCAGGCACATGCATATATACTATAAGTACAACAAAATTTATGTACTATATGACACAGACACATAGTTGTACTATTTGACATACTACTATAAGATTTGGCTAGAGTTTCCAGGGTTTTGAGAAAAGGAATCCTTCATAAACCAAACAATGAGATTAAACCTATCATTAACAATCAGATCAAGATCATGATTATATCAAATGCAGGGTTAGTAAATGCTTCAGGCTTATTATGCATTAATGTCACTTAGAGCTTAGGATATATGCCTAAACAAATTAAAGCATAAAACAATGCATTATAATACACAGATAAACAGCAAGGCTCCATTTGTTCTGTGTATTACTTCAAAGCATCCATCAAGTAGTTAAGACTTAAGACTATCCTGATTTTCGCCTTTGCTGAGGTGATAATTATTGACTAGCAAGATACCAATCTTACTTCAATAACACAAGTAATGAGATAAATTTTACGATAAATTTATATCAGATGAAACTCTCAATAACAGCATAAGCAACATTGAATATGTTCCGTGTATGCTAATGAGCAATTTCTCACATAACAGATATTGTATTCAATAACAAGAAAAATAGATTTGTGCACAGGAGAAAAGAAATACCTGATATTCAGCTCGTTCTGCAATCAGAAGCAAAACCTTGCTAATTTCACGCAGCACAAGAAGAGTCAATCGAGCATCTAATTGAACAGCTTCGATCTCTTCCGGAATGCATGAAAGGATTCTAGAGATCTGTTCTTTGGAGGGAACACTACCACGACTGGAGACTGGAAAAACAGAATTTACAAGATCTGACAGGCGGCTCAAGCAGCTAGCTAAGAAAGCCATCTGGAATGTTTCAATAGCTGAAACCATTTCATCTTTTCCCTCTAAAGTGATTGCCGGTAAGACCCCTTTGACATCAGTATCATGCGAAATTCTTTCAAGAAAGTTTTCCATCATAGAGAAGAGCTTTGGATACCCATTTGTGAATATTTCTTTAACAAAACTTGATGCTGCAAAAGCAGACTTCATTTGAGTAGCAAAAGCCTTAACAAGCGCTTCCCAAACTCGTTCTGTTAGCATGGGATCACCCTCCTGCATCAAGCATCATCAATAATAGTCGAGCAGGCAAATAACATTTTCATGAGAGGCCAATTCAATAATAAATAGAATTACCAAGACATAAAGAAAAACAAAAATACGAAGAAATGGTATTACCTTAATGACTTCATCAAGCAGCAATATATGTGTAAAAGGGTCTCTCTTCTTCGACAAAACCCTCTGCAAGTGCCAAATTGCAACCATAATAGAATGCAGCTGATCCATACAACTGCCCATCCTCTGCCACAACGCGTCCCTTGCCTTCCGACTTCCCCCAATCTGTGGGGTTCCACTGCCCCTAATACCTCCAGGACCAAATCCCCCACCTCCACCACCAGCCGAAATCGCTTTCATATCCAAGGCCACGCTCACACTCTTCACACCCATTCCCTTATACTTATTCACTAACTGCTCCACCGTCCCTCTCAACTCCCCAAGATTGTAAAACACTTGCAACCCAGTTCCCACCTCAGCCTGATTCAACCCTTCCATTCCCCTCTCCAAAACTTTCATAGCTTCACTTCTTAACCTACTCCCTATCTCTCTAACCTCATTAAGTTCCTCATCGACCATGTCAATACCGACAAGTTCATATTCCTCACACAAAGTCAAGATATCATTATGTAACTGAGCAGCCTTAGCAAGATCCAACTTATCAGGCTCGGTTTTCAGCCGAAGCCATAAGGTCCCGTAGCTTTTTGGACAGACGGATGCCACGGATGGAGTGGGAGAGAAGCTCAGAAGTTGTATGTAAATTCGAAAGCTGGACAGTTTTGGAGAGAATCGAATTGTGGGGCTCAGAAAGCTCAGATCGGACACGACGAAGAGAAGACTGAAGAGAAGAAACAGAGGATCTGAGAGTGGAGAGGGAAAGTTCAGCGTTGTTAAGAGAAGATAGCTGAGTAAGGAGAAGAGGATGGTTGGAAAGGACGTGGGAACGGAGTTGGGTATCGAGTTGGCGAATGGCCTGGAGGAGGTGTTCGGCGGTGGAAGCAGGGGATCCAGAGGAAAGGGCGGCGGAGGAAAAGGAGGTGGAAGAAAAAGAAGGGGAAAGGAAAGGGGAAAGAATTGGGTCTTTGGCAAAAGAGTCAAGGAGGGAAGACGGTGGAGGAGGAGAAGAAGAAGAGTTTCTGAAAGTGGAGAGACGGTGGAGAGGGGAGGAGGAGCCGGTGGTGGAAGTGGGGGATCTTTGGATTGCATCTGAAGAAGCCATTTTGGGGTTTTGGAAATCAAAATCAATATTAAAATGAAGCACAATTCTTTCAGATCTATAAAAACTGGAAAAAAAAATTTTAAGAAATGACAAAGAAAATTAGTGTTAAGATTGAAGGGGAAATGCAGATTCAAAGCAACAAAATGGTGGGCGAAACGCACCGTTTTCTTAGTTCGTCGCAGTTTGAGAACCAGAAACTGATCCTTCTATAGCCATTGAAGGGGCGGAGTGCGGATGAAATGAAGCGGTGGCCGACCGTGAGCCAGAGACCAAAGACCAAAGTCAAGTAAAACATGCCGTTTCTTTCTTTAACAGGCAGAGGAGAAACCTACACAAATTTTGCAATATAGGATAATTTTACAATTTTACTTTTTATTTTTATTTTTTGGTTTGAAGATTATTTAAATTTTAGGAAATGGAAAAGGACACATTGTAAGTATTTTTTATTATTGAGTGAAAGCATTTTTAATGAATAAATGTAATTTAAAAATGATTAATCTTTTGCATTTGCATTAAAAATCATATCTATCAAATGGTTTTAAATTATTTGACTAAAAAGATTGTTTTAAATTAAATATTTGTAAAATATTTATTAATCTTTTCCACATTAGAAATATTAACTAGGTTAAAGATATATAGATTGTAGTTGAAGTAACCATTCAGCCTCTTTTTTATTGTTTTCTTTTTTCCCATAGAATGTTCTTCCATTCCATATCAAATATAGAGCGAATTTTTATTAAAAAAAAAAATAATAAAAAGAGATAACTGAAGATAAATTATGACTTAACTATTTGACATGATTAGTCAAAGTGAAATTTCATTAAAATATCTATCTGATAAAGAAACGGAAACCAATTTCAATTTGTACAACAGTCAACGATTGGTTGGAAAAAAACCTTTACGAAGCAGCGGAAACCAATTTCTACAACAGTCCGCGATTGGTGGGAAAAAACCTTTACGAAGCAGCGATGTCCGCGCTCTCACAGTGCAAATTGCAATACAAAACGTTAATCACAGATGTCCGCGTGCTCTCGTAACGCAAATTGCAATACAGAACGCTAATCACAAAAAAACTCACGATAGGCATTGATTTCGGACGCAAGAAAACAGCCCCAAATTTACCTACACAATATGGAAGGACAAAAAAAGCCATGTCATATTGAGATTTGAGAAAATTCGAAACAACTGGAAATTGGTTTCGCTTTTATTTGCCAGAATCCAAAACAACATTGAACGAGATACTACATTTACTTTTATATTTGTTGCCTGAACTCCAAAGAAAATGTACATGCATTTTTTCAACTTACTCTAATGCTAATATATGACTCAAGTTGGTTAATAGATTTGAGGCTCTGAATTATTAAAAGAAAGAAAAATGAAAGAAATAACGAACATTTGGTTCAAAAGTTTAAAGAGCTAGACTTGAACCTGCTGCTGTATATGTTAAAACCGTAAACACAAGCTTTCCACCCACCCAACTTCTATACTTAATTAAATAGAAACAATAAAATTATCTGCAGTGAATTTTTTTTTTTTTTAATATATTCTCAGAGTCTAGGCATTTTTCCTATCAAGAATACCAAAGCTCAACTTGGTTGGTTGGTTGATAAAAAGTTGGCGAGTAAAAACCCTATGTTTGGACGGTGTCGCAATGGATGCTACAATTTGCAAGACGTGACTTAACAAAATGTGGAGACTAAACAAATTAGTGGACAAACCTGTGATAAAATTGGTTCTTAATCAATTCAGTAGCGACATATGATTAACCTCTTATGAATCAGATTGAACGATTCCATGTATGTATGAATGTAATAGCATTGAGATTAATGCAGCTCACACATAGAAGACAGAAGTTAGATCACGTAAAACCTTGTACTTTAATAATGTTCAACCCTTGTATGGTACTACCAAGAACTCATCGAAACAAAACTCAAGTTGGTATTTACTTGTTTTCCGTCCAAGTTCATGTGGAACGAAACTAAACAAATTAAGAATCTAAGTTTTAAGTGAATCGCTTTAGATCTCAAAGAAAGGGATTATTCAATCTATTTTTATTGACAAGATCTTCAATTATGCCATCAAAATTTAACATTCTTAGCACCAAACTCCGTAGTATTTGGGAATATGGTTGACTAGATTCTAAATATGCCCCGAAAACTTAGTACTTCCAGAGATCAACTCCAAGATCTTGGATTCTTCTGTTTGTCTAAAAGACAACCTAACCAAAAAAATTATATTCCAATCAACCTGTTTCTTGAGAAATATCGAATTGGATGGCCGTAGTTTGTGTTTACTAATCTTTTAAAATGTACAATTTGTGGCTTTCAAATTTTTGAGATAAAGACGATGACAATCAAGACGCATGTTTTACATTCACATTTTTAACCTTCATAAACTTGTATAGTAGTTTATCGCTCTTTAAATTATTGAGGGTATTAAGTTTTGGACTTTATTTAAGAGCCTATTCGACACGGCTAGAGACGTGCTGCTCCTAGCTATAACGGTAAATACTTAAGAGTGAAAAAAAAAAAAAGCATTTTAAGCAACGCAGTCTTTCAAATTTAGTAAAAAGATTACAAATTTGAATCCCATAATACTTACATTTTAACAATTCTAAAAAAGGTTCATCCTATTGTCTCGTGAAAAGTGCAAACTAAGGGCCAAAAAAAAATTCTAAATCAATGCAACAGCAAGATAATAATAGTATAGATGAAATATATAATATAGAATATATAAATATAGAATAATAATGCTTGCAAACAGAAGAACAACACAACTAACATATAATACTTGCAAAGGAAAGCACATGTATACAGTAGGGACATCTATAAAGCAGATAAAACATTGAAGAAACACAAGAAAAACCTTAGGCGGCAAAATCAAAACTTGTGAATGCTAAAATAACCAATTAATGCACCCCAAAAAAAAAAAAATCATCTCCATGCAATAAAAACAGATAGGAAAAATATATTAAACATCAATCATAACATGCAGAAGGCATTTCAGCAGAAAATGTACTCAGATTAAATAAGGACATAATGAATTATAGAACCAACAATATATATACAATAATTTTATTGAAAAAAAGGGTATCTATAAGCACTAGAAAAAAAGTGTGATAACTGTCCAACTTTGCTAAAGCTGGTTAATCTCTCATAATCTCAAGAAAGAAAACTCAAAATATATCATACCTCAGGATCAAGCCCAACTAAATAGCCACTTCAACAAGGAACCAATTATTTGTTTAACTATCCAACAATTCTATTGGCTACAATAAGGAAACTCCTGATAGCACCATGAAACTTGCAACTTAGTCCTTTACCACATGAATAAGAAAGTACCCAAACATTTTCCAAGGCAGCACTTCTAAAATAGACACCAATACTCCACTCATCACTGTTCTCATTTGTAGATAAAACTCTTTTGACAAACATAAGAAAAGACCGAAATCTCTTTTCTGCCCCAGATCAAACCACTTCATTCTACCTTGAACTATTGAACAATAACCACCCTACCTAATCTAAGAAGTAGTAAAATCAAAAGAAAACCATCTGAAATAATACTGAATCAAGAAACAGGCACATGGCTGATAAGGGAAAGGCTAAGAAGAGTGGGGCATAGAATTTGTTATAATGGCCCCGTCCTAAGGCACTAAATCTAGTTCAAACATGCAAAGAATCAAATTAACATACTACAAAAGCATTGAAAGTAAAAGAAACTTCAATCCAAGCAAAAGAGCCCCCTAAATGCTAGACTAGAAAGTTTCAAATTTAGCGATTCCACTGTCCCTTAGCACGACCTAAAAGGGAATCAGCTTCAAACACCACGTGATAATATATAGGACATGATGCCCCATTTACGATTCTCAAAATAGTAAAAGGTCTGGCAAACCCCATGAACTACTTGCCCCAAACAATACCACTAGATTTTCTGAAGTTCTAAATCCAAAAGATTTTTTTACTTTGCATACATAATTTTCAGAATTCATATGCAGCCATTAAAAGGAGGACAATAACAGTCAACAAACAACTATCATTACATAATACACAAAAAAACTAGATCATTCCTATATTAACCAGTTAAGTATGTATCCATTCAAGAAAATAAGTTATGGCAAGAATAATTACCTAGATAAAGGAGTTTTCACAGCTGATTCCCCGTCCCTTGTCCACCTGGAGTATTCGTCTGCTGCTGCTGCTGCTGAATCTGGAGGAGAAGGCTAGCAGCAAATTGAAGTGTTGACTGGTAACGCTGATTCTTATCAGCCTCCACATCTGATGTGCCCTGACCAGCTCCAGAAAGCACAGATTGCAGCTGCTGTACTTGACTAGGAAGCTCCAAAATTTTTTTGTCAGCTTGCATGACGTTTTGTGGCTGGGAAACATTAGCACCATGAACCTGATTAGACAAAACATTAGGATTGCTCTGCTGCTGAAAAGTTGGTGCACTATACAACCCAGAAGCATCTATTCCATGCATCATTCCGTAGCCCTTCTGTGTGTTGGGAGGAACTTCAGGCTGATACTGCTGGCTGATAGGGGCAGAAACTGCACCTGGTTCACTTTGAGAAGGAATATTGATATTAGTCAATTGCCTTGAAGATGCAGCACCGTGCTGCGGCATGCTAACAGCAGACTCCTGAAACTGAGTGCTACCAAGGGCCATTTGGGCAGAATGGATGGGTGTATTCGAAATAGAGTAATGCTGAACTGGTGGTAATTGTGCTGGAGGATTAAACTGTTGGAAAGATGGGGTTGCAGGCTCAGAAGCTTGCAGATCTTGGTTCCAAATTTGTGCAGAAGCTCCTTTAGGTGCAATGGTTTGAGCAAATGACAACTGTGATGATGATGTCACTAATGGAGGCTGAACACCTCCTACAGTAGCAGTCTGTGAGGTTGTCGGGAGAAAAGAGGCTAGAGTAGCAATCAGATCCGGTGTTAAAGAAACACCAGTTTGGGACAGTGCTGTAGGATTACTGAGTGGTTGAGTTTGCATGGCAGATTGCCCCAGAGGTCTTGCAGGAGGTATGGACTCCTCATGCAAGTCCCTTCCATACTCCATCTGTAGACCCTGTTCTTCCTTCAAGTGTGAAAAACTATAATCAGACTGAGAAACAAGAGGTGGATGCGCGTGCAGTGTAGTGCTCGGCAGCTGTGGAGGCAACTTTAAAACAACACCATAAAGCCGTTCAGGTCCTACAACTTTTAGAACCTTCGTTAAAAAATCTGAAGGAGGCACCAAAAATAATGTTGTCCCATCATCGAACTTGGCAACACCTGCTCTGTTTTTTGAACCAAGGTAGCGAAGGAATTCAGTGTATGATGCAAAATCATCTTCACTGTCAGGTAAGAAGAAAACAATATCAAATCCAATTGCCTCACGATAGTGTTTTGCCAGCATATCCAATCCTGTTCTGGCTGAACAGTTAACAACTTCAGGACTGAAGAAGAAAACATGAAATTTCAGTAAGTTACACAACTTATACCTGACTGGAAGGAATTTAAACATGTACCAAAAAATAATAAAATTGCAAAAAAAAAAAAAATTAAATAAGAAGCTTCCTTCAGATCTAAGATAATAAAGACGTGGGCTACCAGTAAATGTAAATTTGCAGGTTTGACGTAAATTGCCAATAAAGAAATATGAGAGGTATTTAGTTATTGAACAAATTATAAGAGTAGCACAAAATAATTCCAATAGGGCCCTCCAATTTTAAGCTACTTTATCTCCCTTTCTCATTGGGCATTCTGATGTGTCTGAATGTTTGTTAAATTCACCCTTCTTCAATTTCACTAGAATATTCATAATAGAGTATAAAGTATCAAAAAAAGAAGAATGTGCGTCTGGCAAACATTTATAAAAGATCCATCAGTTAAAACCACAATATGATATGTCCACAGATTCAAAACTGAGAGTAAGCCACAATGAAAAATCTACATGGACCAAACAAGGAATTGAGCATTTCCTTTACAAAATGGAAAATTTACATGGAAAGAAGTCAAGTACCAAGGATAAAACAACACTTACAGTTCTGTTTCTAGCCCCTTTCCAATGGGAACACATCGAGCATGACAAACAGGTGTTCCACCCTTAGCAATAATGCCACGCCATATGTAATCATTATCAGAACGGGCTACTCCAGGTCCACCAGCCACCACCTTTCCGGGCACCGGACTTAGATGACCCTTCCCTTGGACATTTACAAATGGACCTAAAGCACCCCCACCATTAACTGGCCCAAGCCCATATGAGTCGTCTGAATGTGACCCAAGATCATCCATCTTTCTTAAAGGAAAAGAAGCATCGTCAATAGGCAATGAAGCCTCAATCCTCGAACGTTTTGCGTCTCTTTGAAACTGGCTCACATCATAAACATCCCAGGAACCAGATGCCTGTCTCATTGGAGGCTTAAAACCTTGAGCAGAAGGGAGAGGAGGAGAAGGCCTTCTCCAATTTGGACCCATGAGAATTTTAGGATCAGCATCCTGCACAGACAAATCGCTGTATTCTGGACCTGAAAGCAGAGGCTCATAGCTACCTTGATGGCCAAAAAGCCTGATTGGCACATTTGATCCTACAATTCCACTAGGCGTTAATGGTCCAGATACTATATTTGAAAGTCCAGAATGATTTTGACCAAATATGTCCACTTGTGAAGGTCTAAATGGATGATCACTGAAGAGCATGTCTGGCCTTGGCCCCTTTATGCCTGAATAAAAGCCAGAGTAATCTTTCCCAGGTGCAAGTTCACTGCTTGAGAACATAATAGTGATCCTTGGATCATTAAACAAACGACCCTGTAAGCCCTCCTTTGCACGCCGAGCTTCCTCCACACTCCTGAACTCCACAAAGGCATAGTGTCTTGAAGGGAAGCTCTTAATTCTCTCAATCTCACCGAACAGTATCATAGCATTATGAAGCATTTGTTCATCAATCTGCACAGAGGGAGGATAACCTACCCACAAAACTTTGCTAGGCTGACCATCTACTTTTCGGCCAGCTAATTGAGGATGCTGCAAGATGGATTCAACAAATCAGAATGCAAAAAGATTCGAGTTAGGCTAAAAATGTAGGTGCAGGAACAATGAAGAATAATTACACAAAATTCAGTTCAACAGAGGCTTTAGGTTTAAAACTCACTGGTCTTTTTGCCATAGAATGGGTGTCAGAGGGCCCCATCCTACCAGAAAAAAGCCCATCTCTGAGTTCATGAGAAATAGGCCATTGCTCCTGTCAAAAGGATCGAGGAAAAAATTCATTTAGTAGGACAAATAACAGAATATTAAAGCATTTCAAATGGTTGTTTCAAGATACATGGAAGAAATAGAATTGGAGATGCATTAAGAACAGGGAAATATTAATCCGGGAAAATAGATGTCAACTCTAACTGTTAAAATCATACTTAAAATTCTAAATACATAAACTTACTCTTCTCGAAGGGTGGGATCTTAAGAAATCAACACGCATCTGTTCACCTCCTATTCGCTTGCCATTCATGCTTCTCATGGCCTGTGAAGCATCTTCCATTCTAAAATACTCAACAAATGCAGTATTACGATCTCTAAGGAACTTGAAATCTTCAATTTTACCAAACTTGCGAAATTCTTCTTCTAATTCTTCCTTTGAAATCATTTGGCTAATTCCACCAACCCATAGATTCTTACAAGGTTTTGCCTGAGGAATTGCATAAATCCCAAAAAGTTCAAAAGTTAGACATGGCTTCTCACATAAGGCAGAAAATGATTGGGGCAAAACTTAGATGATAAAGTTAAAGCACGTTAACTATTGCAGGAATATGAATCATATAATTGCAAATTTAAATCACAACCTATTCATCTCTAATACTAATGTCCAATTGCTCTGAATTCACATAATTGCAAAAAGATCTAATATTTATTCTATTGCAAGCAAATGTTTAAATCACGCATTCTACCCTCCTTCAAGTCAAGAACAAAAAGCAAGGAAGAGAAAAGAATGAACAGAAATGCACTTTCTACATGACTAGTATCTATCTCTTTCAAGTCAAGTGCAAAAAACAAAATAAAACAGAAATTCATTACCTTTTGAAGGGAAATAAAAAACCAGGCATATTTAAAAGGTAAAAGAAAGAAAGAGACAGTCTCTAGATATTCCTACAAGACCAATCCCTAATGTTACACAAGGCGATTCCTCCTTGACTCTAAATTTTAGAATTAAAAGAGTTTAATCAAGTATAGTCAAAATATGAGATTATGACACTCAAAATTATCTTAATACCACACCATATAATTAAATATGTTCACAAAATGGATTTATGAGATTCTAATCATCTCAGTTCACTATCTAATTACAACATTCAAGAAAACCTAAGTACCCTTTGTGATGTATGAAGTTAGCAAAGTCAAAGAACACCCTGATTTTAAGGAGTTACAATATTTTTTAGCTTACTGTTGCTTCCCTTGCTAATTAACATTGAGGAGTTATTGAATTTAGTAGGTCGCATGCAATGAGATGAAGATGGTTCCAGTAATAACTTATAAGAAACAAATTTGTATCCTTTAGATCTTTTAAAGGCTACAGCTCTAAATAACCCCAAGTTGTTTGGGACCAAGGCTTAGTTGAGGTGAGTTTGTACTTGCTTTCTTGGTCAAGTCCAAAAATGTTATTTCGATCAAAATACAATGATTTTTCCAACTTCTAGAAATAATTTTGTCAAATTCCATTGAGTCAGCTAGCTTGTTTTCATCTATATTTACCACAAATTAAACCAAACTGATAAAATCCTTTTTTTATTCTGTACGTTAAAAGAATAAGTTGCTAAAGATCAATTAGCATTTACCATACAAGAAGAAAAAATGCCAAAGTATTGGCTGAAGCAGAAGAGCTTAACAACCAATTTGATCAAACAGTTATTAAACTAATAAGGCTATCAACCTTACAATTTCTTTCTTCACTCAAAATTTTTTTTGCAAGGAAGAGTAGTAAAAATCAAAACAGTTTTAAACGAAATTGTAAATTGTTAAAATGCCTCAACCTCATGAGTTCGGGAATAATGTCCATCATATTTTTGTTATTCAAGAATTCAACAAAAGAAAATTAAAAAGAAAATCCTTTTTTAATTGATTTCAAAAGCCATTTAAACTTAAAGAAGTAGGTTGGTGAATTCATAGAACCACTTGTAAGGGGTTTCTCTCCATTCATACTAGTTTTATAACTTTCTTTGTGGGAGGTTTCCTGTTATTGATATAAGCGCTTAAACTTTGCCCCTTTTTTTAGGAAAAATATCCTATATGTTGTAACTTCAATGTTGGGATTACACATCAATTGTTAGTTGCCTCCAAGAATGAACCCGGGAATGGAGACATTAGATTAATGGTAACCACCAAATAAAGGTAAAGCACCCTTATAATTTTCTAATGGTTTGTCAAGACCAAGGGTCCCTTCAAAAAAGCATATATGGCATTTCCAAAATACAAACTCGTTTATCCTATAAACGTTTCCCACATTATAGGAACCAAAGGAAAAGATTGTAGAGCTTATTATATAAATATTACTAACAAAATATTATTTGTTTTCATCAATCCTAATCACTAAGACACCTTTTTATTCTCAGTTGCTAGGAAGATTAGGGGGGCGATTAAGATCCTTTATCAATCCATTGCGCATGCATTGGCATCATTTTTTCTATTCAGTGATAACTGATAGATAATAGAAGTATATAACAAATTAATATTGGAAACAGTTAATCAATTGCTTGATTTTAATCATTTAAGAGTATAATTGCTTGATTTCAGATGTTTTAATCTTCTAATTCTTCATTTTTTCTACCCAAAGTATCATAGAGAGTAGAACACAGAAAATTGTATTAAATACCCTAACTATTACCCTCCTTAATACATAAATTCGTAAATTTTGAAACATTATCTCATTATGTTTGAAATGCCTTTGGCAATTGTAACGATTTCTCAGTTCCATTATGAGAATATTACTAAACTTTCACGTTCTGAAGGCAAATTGCTTTCCATCCTCAACAACAAGATTAGCTATTGATTCTCATTTAATAGATAAGAATTTTATCAAACTGTGCAAAATATATATGAATTTGAAATAGGCAAAACAAAACTTTCTCTTCTGTTTCCTTGAAAATATAAACAAAAATAATTATACAAAAATTGCGAAAAAAACAAAAGGAAACCTAACGAGACGGAAGAGAGAAGAACAACGAAACAAACCGGTCGAGCGAATTCAATCTTGATTTGGTTTCCATGTAAGGTGGCTCCTTGGAGACCTTCCTTTGCCGCCTTCGCATCCTCCACGCGCTTAAAGAACACGAAAGCAAAGCTTCTCGACGAATACGTCGCGACGCTATCGAGAACGCCGTACTTGTTGAACAACTCCATCAGATCCGAATCTACCGTTTCGCCCGACAAGTTTCCCACCCACAAATTGTTCGAAGGCGTATCGCATTCCTCCGATTCTTTCCCCAGCTTCTGTTGCTTTATCGGCGGCGCCATTGTTCGGGATATCAAAGTTAGGATTTAAATAGATTGTTAGAGAGCGAGAGAGAGAGAGAGTGATTGAAAATCTGAAACCCTAAAAGTTAGAGAATCGAATAAAAAAAGAAAACCTATGTTAACAAAGTCAGATTTGGGAAAAGTGGGGGAAGGATGGGGAATATATGTATATATAGAAAGGCGGAAGGATATGTCCAGTTTGAAACGGCGTCGTTTTGATCGAAGAGGCCGTAGCCCGAGATGCCACGTCGTTAAAATTATAAGGTGGGTAACCGATGACAGCAGTTTCGGTTGGGCTGACGTGGCTGTACTGGTGGTTTTATAACGCGTGGATTTTTGTTTATTAAGACCTAAGGATTTGCTCTGATAAAAAGAATTACAAAAAAAAAAAAAGGATTGAGATGATAAGTGTTTAATAAATTCAATAATTAAATATTTAAATTATAAAATAAAAATATTTAAAAAACTTAAAAATTTTCTTTATCCCTATTCATCTTTTTTACCGAACAAAATTTAAAGTAACGATTTAAAATTTGTTTTGAGATTGTGATTGTAAATTTTAATTGCAATTATAATGAATTCTCTTCATCCTTGTATCTTTTTTACTGAAAATAACTTTATAGTGATCAAAATTTTTAACTACAAATTTATATATCTTATTTAAAATCAAATTTGGTAATTATGATAATATATAACTCAAATTGTAACATAATTTTCATTAAATTGGATTAAGTATTATTCTATGCAATCGATTGATCGCATTTCTAAATTTCATAAATAAGCGATAGGAATTAGATTTTAAGAAATGTTAAATGGCAGAATTGTCCCCATATATAATTTTTTTTACTTAAAATGATCAAAAATTAAAACGATAAATATATATATATATATATATATATATATATATATTATCCTCTTTGCAGCCACCAATTTCCATCCTGTCCAGTTTACCTTCAGCATTGCAGGCCGTGTCTAGGAACAGAATGGCAAGCTTCCAAATGCCCTCAATGCTTTCTTTTGCAAAAACATGGAATCAAACGATCCTGATGTGCAATGCCACCACTGCCATAGAGGATGGGCGAAAAACGAAAATGCTGGATACAAAGCAGCCAGAGCTTTGATCTGAAATCCGGAATCTTGTCGACACTGGTGGAATACAGTTTCATAACAGCTACTATTGGCCAGTAACCACATTTCAACGGATGAAATATTTCAGGTAACATGAAGCTTTAAAGATGAACTATAGCTAATCAAATGTCAAGTATTTTTTTCTAGCACATTTGACATGTGTTACTCGTATAACTACTGACCCCATCTATTTTGCCAGGAAAACGATTTCTATAGTCTGATGCAAGTCTAACAGCGATAAAGCCGATTAGATAGAGCCGATTAGTAACGAAAATTAAAATACTGCAAGCGCTTGATCCGGCTATTCCCACTCCTTCACCACAGCAGGAGCTTTTTCTTCATGCAAAATGTTGTAGTTTTGAAGAAATGATGTGATGGAAGCTGGCAGGGTCCTCAATAACAATCCTTTTGATTCCATGATACCATAGAAGAGAACCTCCCCTATTCCATCAATCTCTGATTCATATTGTTCATAAACAAAGAATGCGGTGAAGGCAAAAACCAGAGCTGCGTTACAGATAATTTCCAAAGTCAATACCAGGATAAACCAAAAGAACTGCTCATTTATGGCAAAAGTAAATTGTTGTTACCCACCAATGCCAATAAGCACAGCCAAGGAATAAGACAGACTCAACTTGGCGAAATAAAGAAAAACCACAACCTGAATAAGTTGCAAACATAAGTTAGAATTTCAATGAACATGAAGAAAAGCTTGCATAAGTAAGGCACAATTCAGCACATACTTTACTGTTTTGCACATAGTTGTTCATTGTATGAACTTATGTATTGCTTGTACAGCAATAGTCAATCAAAAAAATTTCGGATGCGCTTATTTCGCAAGTTTGCAATAAATCCACATTGAGTTTATTTTGCAACTTTATGGTATGGACTTTATTTATGTAAGGCTAATAAAAAAATCTAACCCCTCAGTTAAACGTCCAACCAAATATTAGCATTTGGACGTATACTTACAGATGAAAGATACGTAATAGATTCCTGCAGGAAATTGGAAGTGTCTCATAAAATTTATGAGATTTAACCTCATAATCTAACCCTGCACAAGTCTTAGATAATGTCTGCAAAAAGGAAAGGTACAAGATTTCGAAATAATATTCAAACGATAACTTTGGACCATATAAACAACCCAATAACTTTATGAGATTTAACCTCAAATGCAATGGACCATTATAATGGCACGTTTTGGAAAACACAAAATTACCAGAATGTACCTGGATACAAGAACTCAACTGAAACAATGCGGGTTTCAAAAGGACACATATGATAAAAAATTATAGGTTGGATATTTCATATTATACATGTTCTAGAATAAAAACCCAAAGAACTTAACTTAAAAATAAAACAATATAAAAATGCTTGAAACCATTAAAAGAATTGCCATCAAAATGCCAACCTTGAAAAACTTGCCCCAATCCTCCCCCTTGGCCAATAATCTGATGTTACGTGCTCCTCTATTCCACATATATGACATGGATCTGATTGAATTTTTAACGGCTGATTCTGGGATTTCAAAACAAGATGAAGATATCCTTTCAACAGTAAAACCACATCTGCAGCAAAGCCAATCATGACTGAGAGAGAGATATATGCATATTTGCATGTGTTTGCACATGTTTGTTTGAAATAGATATTTCAAAAAATTATAAAATTCAACAGCTTACTTAAGGAAAAACAAAACTTGAAGATTTTTTAAGTTAACAATGGGAATATAAAAACTTTAGATAGACAAAAGAGTTCGGGCATGGGTGTTTTATACCTTGTAAACAACTAAACCACATTCTTTAGTTGTTTTAGGGGATAGATGGGAGTCGTGGTATCTAGCAAGCTAGTTTTACTGTACAGGAAGAAAGCCCGATTCACTCATGTTGACAGAAATGGTAAAAGTGAACCAAGGGAAACATGATACTTCAGAACATCTCTTTAACTACAAAAACGCAAGGAAAAACAACAAACCCTGCTTCTCAAATCCCATCCCCCCCATATCTAATGACTGACCCTAAACTGGAGCATAAGCAAAAACAGGGGAATTGGAAGGAAGATAGGTCAGAGAAAGAGGATATTAATCAAAAGAGTTTGGCATTGAACACAGACACTGGAAAAGGTTAAAAGGGGAAACCAAAGGGGGAATGAGGACTGAGCTAAAGCTTCATATTCCAGATAGATTCAATCAATGTATTAAAATGGGGCCTCCAACAAACTACAGCAAATTGAAGATGCTATTGGAAGGCTGAATGAAATGCCATTAAACAAACAAGGCATATAATTACCAATACTCACATATTTGATGATAAAATGCCATATCCATAAAGAAAGACTGTAACTAGCAGCAGAAGCTTGGCTGTAGATGACATAAAAGTACTTCCACAGAGAAAGAACCAGTAAAATACCAAAGCCAGAGTAAGGAAGCATGTAAATGTTCTCTTTTCATCTCTCCACAGCAAGACATCTGCAACTGAATCAAAGTAATTCAAGGTCATTATATAGTGAAAATTGCACTACCATGCCTCATTTATTTACAGGAGCCTAGTTGGATGCATCCAAAAAATTGATGATGACTGAAAAGCAATGTCTCAAGTCTTCAATTAGTGATTAATTGGAGCATCTTGTCCTATGCTTCCACCTGATTGTACAGTTTGCCATGAAAAGTTTCTTTTTTTTATTTTGGCCAAGCATAATAGGTTGGCTTAGGCTTCTGGCTGAAGTCAACATGGACTATATAGCCTGTCAGTTACAATTACAAACCCAAAAACCTTCACCGGCATTTGCAGAAAGAAAGAATCAAATTTCAACTATTCTTCCATAGTACAATCTTGTTACTTAGCATGCATCAGAAAGCACCAGGACTCAGGAAATCAGGTATAATAGTGGTAGTCAAAATATTAAGCAGAAGAAATAAACAGTTCCGAGATTAAAATCTACAAACAAATTGATCATGTGCTTAATCATTGAAAGGAGGTTACTTCAAATTCTTTGGCTAAACATAAACTTCAGAAAAAATGCCTATGCAATGCCATTATGAAATTCTGCATAAAAAATCATATAATGTAATACCTATCCCACTGCCTAGCAGCTTCTCTGCTTTGGATTGTTCATTAAAATTGCTGTATGTCATAAATGATGAGTCTTTGGCTAAATGAGAGAATGATTCGATGGTTGACTTGACACCATCCTGTATTACCAGCAACAAGAAACAAAAAAGATGTCAAACTTTCAGATAAAAAACTTTCAGTCTCCCTACTGGATCTTGAAAAACTATTTTCATGTGATTGAAGTAAGCAGGAAATGAAAGCCCATGTTAATGTGATCAAAATAATAGTAAAATGAGAAAAACAGTCTTCAAATCAACCACATCTATGTGCTGAATTTAATTAGGTAGTGCTTGAATCTAAAATTAATTATCTCTTAAGTTGGGATAGAATGTAACATGAATGGCAAAAAGCATGATAGAGAATGAAAATGGTCTTTCTGCTTATCAGCTCAGGGGAACGAAGACTACAAAGACATAAAGAACAAAAGCAGTAATTGGATTCCAAAAGAAAATCCTACTCCCAAAAGCTATTTTCTTTACTTCAATTTCCTCCAGCTTTTAAATTTCGCAAAGCAATGAGGATACCCAATTCTACAAAATCCCATTCATCGCTTCAATTCTGTTTTAAGGAAATAAACAAACTTAACCTCACTCCATTTACCTTCCCATCAAAGATTGTCCATCTGTCCCTCACAAGGATATACTTAGGAATTTGAACAAGAAAGTATTAGTATTGTTACCTATCTACATTACAGCTTGTCAGGAAACAAATAGTTGAAGTCAAGAATGTTTAATTGACTGTACAAATCAACTGACAAGGAGTAGTGCTTCTACTCCATAAATATTAATATTATGGCAATAAAATACCAAGAGATGAAAAAATATACAAAAGCAGAAAAAGAAATTGAATGCAATAAATACAATTTTTGGTTAGTCAACTGATTAAAGTATTCTACTTTCTAAAAATTTCAAACATAAATTATGAAAAACTGTGGCTAACAGAAGATCTAGAAAATATTCTATCCAATATAAGTGTCAAAAGAAAGGACAGATGACGGGAATATTATATAGTAGATTCGAATGCGTCAACATACAAAAAAAGACAGCAGAAACTTACTTCTAGGGAGACAACAGGTGAGTATCCAAGATGCTTTTGAGCTGCAGAGCAGTCAAAAGTTCTGGTATGTGAAGCTAATTGAAGAATGTAGTGAGGTGACACAGAATATTTTCTAAAGCGCAATTTGTCATTTATACATTGACGAAGTGAGAGAATATAGGATACCATCCAAGTAGGAACTTTTATGAATGGTCTGCAATGCAATTGACAACTCCAGTTAGGAGAAAGTTATTAAAAGTCTTACAAAATAAAGAAAAAAGGAAAAAAAAAAAAAGGATTTTTTTGGGATTGCTTCAGCAGTCAATCTAGAAGAAAGATAAACTTACATAAATTGTTAACTCAAAGAAAATGAGAATTCAGAGAAGGAAGTCAAATAGGATGGCAAAACATATAACAACAGATTTTGTATACCATAACAGTAGAAATTTACTGCCAAAGCAAGAAAATCCATTCCTACGTTAAGATCCTTGTTGCTAATGGTATGGCAAAATCCAGCACCATTTTGTGCTGATGAAATAAACAGTTAATTTCAAAATTAAAAGGCCAAAATGAAGCATCCAAATAAAGTATAAGGGTTCACAACATAATTGCAGTTTCTTTTTTCCCTTCTCTGGCCTATCATTACCTCTTTTAGTTTGGGGAAGTGCAGGGGATTTAGGTGGCTAAGCTGTGGCAAAAAGTGATTTTTACAATATCTGAACAACAGTCTTAGTAAGGCATGTAAATCTTATTACATGTCACAGTCATGTTAGTTTGATAAATCTACAGCAGCGTAGCCTACTGGGAATCAGTATAATATTGCAGACTTTCACACATATGAAAATCAGGATGCCTTACCTTTGATACCCTAAGCCTCCAAGAATGAGAGAGACAAATTCCCAGAACATTACAGGCTCAAGATTCGTGATGAAAAAGGCCTGAATATTGAGAACATATCCCTTATTCATAGATTCAATATAAATTAAAATATGTGAGAGCTTTACATATCTAACAACACTGTTAGGGAGTACCTTTCCAGCCACAGAAACTATCCGAGAATCTAGAGTTTCTGCTGCACAGATATGAGCATGAGCAACATTCTCTGCATAAGTAAAGTCAGACATATTTTCACCACTTCCTGCAACAAACTGAAATGAGAAACCACGTTACTATAAAAAGGATTAAATATAAATATTCTATGTTCCATCATAACATAAAATAGATGATTATTTTTCGAAAATAGCAAGACAAATAATAGAATTTTACAAACAGACACCTGTACATTTCCAAAAAGCATCAATAATCTAGGATGCATAACACAACTAAGGATCTTACATAAGATAAATCCAAACATGAGAAATCAGGGCTAAAAGTGAAGAGGTCCTTAAAGGTACGTTGCTGTATTTCACTTTCAGCCTGTGTTCTGATTATCAATGTAGAAATATCCATTACGATATGATTGATAACGTCAGAAAGTTTCCAAATAAATAAGATACTCAAACTAGTAAAACTACATCTCTAGATGAATAAAGTGATGTTGAGACAGTTCACGAACCTTTGCCAAACCAGATTTGGCTAGATTGACTAGCAAAGGCACCAATTGTGTGTCACCGGGTCCAAAGGCGTTGCTAGGGCGAAGCACACATGTTAGAAGACCATCAATATTGTTAGCTAACCTGATTAATCCTTCTGCTTGAAACTTGAGGTCAATCAGCATATCCTGAAACTGTATTGGTGTATCAATAAACAAAATGACCATTAGCAAACAAATGGTAACTCAAAATCCAAAATAGTTTCATCAGATTGCGGCAATAAGAAACATACTTTCCCTGGGCAAGTGAAGGATTCATCACCATTAAGTATATCCTGTGAACCATCAAAAACAACATCTGCAGAACTGTTGTATACAAGTCGCCTAACTTTACTTTCTCGGCATGCATTAATGACATTTTTTGCACCTGAACATATTATCAACACAAGGGTATCATTTTAAATATATAGTATATAATTATAAATCTCATCAAAAGAGAGAAAGGAAAAAAGCCCATTACCTTGAACTATGATCATGTAGCAATTACAGAAATCATGTGTGTCTAAATCAGTTGGTTCCATGTAAAATACAACATCTGCACCTTTAGTTACTGCAAGAGGTGCATTGACAACACAAAGTCAATCAAACATTTTCAATGTTGCAAGGAAATTTCAAAACTGAAAATGAGACTAAAAATATAACATATATGAATTGAATTTATTTCCTCTCCATCTCAGTATGCAGTTCAGTTTCTTAACAAAGAGAATTCAGATACTGCTTTCTATTATCTAATTTTCTTGCAACCAAACAGAAACCAATACATTCCATAATACAGCAGTTCCCTGGTTAGTTATGAGAAGGGGAAAAATAAACAAAAGGCTTGATTAAACTCTAGCATTTTCAATTTTTGAGTTCTCAAATTTTGTCATGGTTTCTCAGGAACCATATATCGTGTATCATAAGCCTTAATTTTCCATTCTTTCCAGCTAAAACTAAACCATCCAGCAATATTAATCTCCAAGGGAAAAAAAATTCTTACATTTTCTATTTTATTTTTAATTTCTAAGAAAAAGAAATTAAAACAAAATATCTCCATTTCAATTAAGAAAGGAAAATTTGAAACTATTCGGTATTTGCTTTTGCTACTTGCTTTTCCGTTGCAAAGAAAAAACCAAAAAGTATTTGAATTCAAAAGCAAACAACGTTTTTTAGAATTAAAAAAAAAAGATTTTTTTTAAGATAAAAAATATATGATTTTACTTTTATATAGACTAATTATGTTAGAATCGTATTGCGTTTCAGTCATTTGTTAATCTTTAATCAACTATGGATGTGATTTTACTTCATTGCAACTTCTTTAGAAAGCGAAAGGCAACAATCAACGAAACCTAGAAAAATGGTTGCAAAATTCAAGTAATTTCAAAAAAAAGGTTCAGCGCAAACACGATTCTCAGCTAAACAAACATAAAATCATCCTAAATTTGAAAATATAAATAAATAGATAACTGATCAAGCTTTCTTTTCTGGCATTTCTCCAGTAAACAAAATGCATTTATCCGAACTGTTTATGTAAAAAGAGATATATATATATATACGTATATTGATCGTATATTTACGTGTATATACATGTATAGGAACAATTTTGTTTTACCTTTGATGATTTGAGATGTATCGCGAACATCGACATGGCAAAAGGAGGCTTGACCAGAGCAGAGAGCATCAGAGAGGAGAGAGTCGGAAGCGGAGGAAGGATCGAGCTGCAGAGAGTGAGAGGATGAATCGGCCACACGGACGATCCAGCCTCCGAGTCGCAGCAGCCTGGTGACGAGCGTTCTCCCTAAGAATCCTCGGCCTCCGAGAACCACGCACGTCCTCGTCTCGCTCCAATCTCCAAACGCCACATCATTCGCCGTCGTCACCACCATTTTCTCTCCCTTCTTTTTCTGTTTTCTTTTTGTTCTTCCTTTTTGGTGCGATTAGTTGCGGAGGGATTATTATTATGTGCGTTGTGAAATAAGGAGGTGTTTGCCGGGGAACCGTTGCATTAACCTTTTTTTCTTTTCCTTTTCCGTTTGGAGGAAAAAAAATTATATAATATTTTTTTGGCATAGGAGAGAAAAAAAAAATTGGTCCGTGGGGGTGGGGTCCAGGGATCAGGTGAGATGGTCCACGGGCGTCAGATTCTCGGGCGCTTTCAGGTGAAAATCACAACCAACTCCCACTAAACAATGCTTGGCTCCTAATATTTGTCTTCCCAATCGATGATTTTTGCAAATAGTTTTATTTTCTTTAATAAAAAATATATTTTTTATTATTTAGTATTTATGTCAGTGATGTTTTTCGGTGCTTGCTAGAGGGAAGTTATCTGGAGGGTTAGTAAAGAGGGACCTGAATCTACAATAAGAAAACACGATTAAAAAATGTCCAAATTGATCTTTCAAGACGCATTTTGATCCTTAGGTGTACATGTATTTTGTGAGAAAGACAACAAACAATGAATATGGAGGAAGCTTTAAGAGTAAGAATACTTTGTTCATATTTAAATGATTTTTTTTTTATCTTAATGAGATAAAAGATGATGATATGATTAAAATAATTAATAATTAATAATGATTTTATGCGAAACTTAAAGAGAGTCACGTAAATTATTATAAACTACATTTAATAATTTTAAGTAAATATGAGTTGAATTTAATGCTTTCAAATAACTTGAAAATCGATGTGTAATTTTAAAGTGATGCTATGATGGGATTAGAATAGATAACAAGTTAGATCGAAACAAGTTTTTGTTTGTTTCAAATCTGACTCGATTTTATAATCATAAAACCTGAATTCAATCCTATCATAAATTATTTTTTATTTTTTTCACATTTAAATCTAACTCGAAATTAATATAATATTATTATTTTTAAATATAAAATATTATTTTTAATGTAAATATATAAATATATATAAATAAAAAATTAAATAATTAATTTAAAAAATAATTTTTATATAATATCAAATCAAATAAGATCGAATTTACCTAAAACTCAATCTCACTCAAAAATTAATTTAAAAAAAAATCGATTTTATAAGGTAGGATCGAATTAAAACTCCTAAGAAACAAATTAGGCTACCAACCTTAGATAGGATATTAGCAACAGTATTAAACAAATCCCTATTTGACGAGAGGTAAGCCTATTTTATAACAATGAGTATGAATGTGAAGTCTTAATTATGATGATGTGATAATCGAATGTGTGTTAATTAAATGATAAAAAGAATTGATTTTGTTGACCGAGTAAATAAGAATAACAAACTTTAATTCAAATATATTTATCTTATATAAAAATAAAATAGTTTGTTATAACATCTATCATTAAATGATTAATTTTTAAATTTTGAATAATATTGATTAGTGTTGTGCTTTAAACCCACTATTTAGAAAATAAAGGAAGAAAAAAAAGTACTTAACTTTTAGTACTAAAATTTAGAAAAAAAATAAATTTGAATTATAAGAATTATTTGATATTTTATTGACTAAATATGATTATATTGTTTGGTTAATACAATGCTAAATTTTGAAAATTATTTATTTGACATTTATATCTTTATTATCATATTTTATGTTATTCCAATTCTTGTTTTTTTTTGTGCAAAAGAAATATAAAAACATTGTTTGACGTTGGCTTTTAGACTATCAACCATTACTTGACATTGATCTTTGGAAGCTTCTGCAAATAAAAACCAAATCATCCTTTCTATTTCTTCACTCTCCCAAACCCAAAGGACAAGCTGCTCCCAAAACGACGCGTTTCTAGGGTATAAATACAAATAATTCGGTGCGAGTGTTATATGCCGTAATAGCTCTGTAGATAACGAGAGAACCAACCCCAAAACTCGAAGTCGAACACAAACTCAAAACTGAAACCAAAGTACAGCAATTAGCGAATGGGCACTCTCCTAAAGTGCTACAAACCTATTTTCTCCATCCGATTTTCTTCGTTCCCCAACTCACTCCGCACAGTCCAACTCGGAACTCAGACCCCTTTCAACACCCCAAAAAGGAAAAATCTAATCCGTCGTTGTTTCAACTCTTTGACCCCATCACAGTCGTTAATCAATGGCAAAACTTTCGACAAAACGGACGGCAACCAACCGCCGGCGAATCCATCATCAGAGCTGTGGCTGCACAATACAATGAGTAAAAAAAAGGAAGTGTTTAAACCCAAAGTTGAAGGCAAAGTAGGGATGTACGTTTGCGGTGTCACCGCATACGATCTCAGCCACATTGGACATGCTCGTGTTTATGTTACTTTCGATATTCTTTACAGGTCTTGCTTCTCTGTCTTGCCAAATTGATTCTGTCATTTTATTTTTATTTTAATTTTTAATATGATTAGATTGAGTACTGATTGGGAATTTCATTTCTTTTTATGGGTTTGAAATTTTGGAATTAGGCAGATATCTTAAGCATTTGGGTTATGAAGTTCGTTATGTTCGGAATTTCACTGATGTTGATGACAAGGTCAGTTTAGTCTTTTTACACTGCTCTTTATTATTTAGGCTTTAGCTTCAGATTTTTTGTCTTGCTTGACAAATTTTAATGTTGGCTTGTTTTAGTATTTTTTGTAGTGTCTGTGAAACTTGAAAACAATGTTATGTTGTTTTAGTAATAAAGCTTGAAAATTTAAGTTTGAGCTTGTTGTTTTTACTAATTATTTCTTAAAATGTTATTGAAAGAAAAAAAAGTTAATGATAGAAAGCAAACTTATAAATTATAATTGATTGAAAAATGAATGAATTACAAGAATGTAATATCAATTCTAACATAATTATTCTTTTAAAATCACACGGTTTTTCCGCCAAAATGATTGAAAATATTGTTTGCTTTTGCGTTCAAATGTTTTATGGGAGGGTATTTCTTTTCTTCATGAGATGCTTTTAAGAAACCAATGAGTTGGGATTTTTGTTGTTATTGCTAATGTACATGACAAAATTCATCAAATTTTGCATATTGAAATTCCCACTGCTTGCGAAATTGTATATTTTAAGCAGTTTTTTTTTTTGTTTTCCTTTCTGAAGTTAATTGTCATAATTCTAACTTTGTTGTTGTAGGTATTATATCGAGCCCTTAAGATTTGGATTCCGACTGTTTTTGTTTAATTGATATGACAGGATAGCTGAGTCTGCACTTTTTCAAATTATGTAGATTATTGCTAGAGCAAATGAATTGGGGGAGCATCCAATCAGTTTAAGCAGACGTTACTGTGACGAGTTCAATCAAGATATGGTGCATCTTAATTGTCTGCCCCCTTCCTTTGAACCTCGTGTCTCTGATCACATGCCTCAGATCATTGACATGATCAAGCAGGTAGTTTCTGGACTCATGATTGCACCTTTTTTTATTCATTGACAAGCAACATCTCTTCTTTGGCATGTTGTATTGGTAGCACTAGCAAAAGTTGCTATCGGTAATAATTTTGCAGTGCATTGGTTGCGAGCTGCTTTGTACTTGCTTATTTCATTGTGATGGGTGTTCTTGAAATATTCAAAAGTGCATGGAATGATGTAAATATTCAGTCATACATCCCATTCTAAAATTCTTTGTATAAACTTGTATATCATGCTATTGTATCAAACATCATTCGTAATTTTTTGTTTATCATTTCATGCCCTTTATGTAAGTTAATTGAGAGAGAATAAAGTTTGCAAGGGAAGAGAAGAAAAAACAATGTATGTTATATTTTTGGAATGTGGATCTTGCACTTGTTAATGTTAAAATTTACAGGTTCTCTGGCTCGCAGCATTTTTTGGGATTATTTTTGCTGCCTTAAGGAGACAGTTAATTTAGGCTATAAGTTAGAACTTTTGTTTGTAACAGAAGTCTTACAGTTAATGTATTTAAATAAGGCTTCATAATCAAGATAGGCATTTCTACTTGTTTTAACTTAAAATTCAATTTGTTTGAATTCTGCTGTAGCTGAATGTTTTTTTTTTCCCTTTAAATCTACAATGTGCTATTGTCGCCTTGAACAGATTGTTGATAATGGGTATGCCTACAGAGTTGAAAGTGATGTTTTCTTCTCAGTGGAAAAATTTCCAGATTATGGCCAATTATCTGGGCGGAAATTGGATGACAATCGTGCTGGGGAGCGTGTTGCTGTGGACTCAAGGAAGAGAAACCCTGCTGATTTTGCATTATGGAAGGCAAGCTTTATGAGAAGCATTATGACCTACCTGTGTCATGCATAACATACTATCATCACAAGTAGAAAATATGTTCTGAGTATCACATAATGTGCCTGACTCTTAGTAGACTAAGATTGTAGTTTTACTTCATTATTTGCACGCAACCTGGCATGCATGAATTGTGAACTTTAGGTAATTGAGCCTCAGCTCAAGCTGTTTAAGAGTGGAACGGATCAGGCAACCCATGTATTCCTAAATGTTACTATAATCTTTAGTGGGTTTGAAGATGTAAAATAAAAACTTTCATGCCATTGAGGTACTAAATAACAATAAGTAAATGTTATACCAAAATGCATTTTTTTTCTTGTTTTTCTTTTATGTTTCACTTTTGCAAAATGAATATATCCCTAAAAACATCCTTAAAGATCATTATTAAAATATTCTTGGCAGTACAGGTTTAAGAATTATAATCAACTCATGATTCAATTTAGCCTATTTATTATTGTTTATCTTGAATTTATGTCAACTTTGCCTATTATATATTTTAGATAGAGCCATATACGATCTACTTATGCTTTCAACCACGTTGGCTTTGTTATAGTTTTTCAACATGATGTAGTATTGTTTTTCTTTAATATATTTTGAACATTTTTGCAGTCTGCAAAAGAAGGGGAGCCATTTTGGGAGAGCCCCTGGGGGCCCGGGAGACCAGGATGGCATATTGAGTGCAGTGCAATGAGCACTGCTTATCTGGGTCATGCTTTTGATATCCATGGGGGAGGGATGGATCTTGTGTTTCCTCACCACGAAAATGAAATTGCTCAAAGTTGTGCTGCATGTAAACAGAGTAATATAAGCTACTGGATACACAATGGCTTTGTCACTGTTGACTCTGAGAAAATGTCCAAATCTCTAGGAAACTTCTTCACGATTAGGCAGGTAAGATGTGCAGTGATCTTCTTTGACAGATTTTATTTGACTAATTTACTTCGAGTTTAATTACATTGCTAGGTTTCTTGCATTGCCAACTTTTTTACTGTTTCTCAGGTTATAGATCTTTATCATCCACTGGCTTTGAGACTTTTCTTAATGGGAACCCACTATCGATCTCCAATCAACTACTCTGATGTGCTACTTGAAAGTGCTTCAGAACGTATTTTCTACATCTATCAGGTGGTGCAGTCTCTCTTTCACTCTCTGTGTTTTATGTGCATGCACTGAAGTACACAAAGAGATAGGGTGTACAAGTTGTTGGACCAGTGTACCTTGTCAATCACATTCCTTTCCACTGTG